CAAGGACAAGTGCAGGACAGTAATATGGCATCTCCTGGGCTCCCTGAATGTGAGCAAGCTGTGAGGCCACAGTGATTTAAGGAAACAGCATCTTCTTTAAGGCCTCAGTGACAGAAACACCAGTCATAGCCAAGAAGACAAAGACAGTTCTGATGGGTCCTTGCAGCTTTGGCAGTGCCCATAGCTATCTCCACCACAAACTGTCGTATGCTGTCCCATGCCTGCATCTGTTTCCATGAAAACCGCAGACAACCAAACTGATTTGTCCCCTTACTCTCACCCATGGACCTCCCTACCCCTACTCATGTCTTTTTGTCCTCACTTGTTTTTCCTTGAGACACAAAGCCAGGGGACGATCACAGAGATCCCTCAGAGAGACCTGGAGCACCACAGGCCTACTCTTCAAGTTCTCTCAGCCTCTCTGCATGGACACAGTCATCCCCCACTATGCCTAAGACTTGACACTTCTCCTGAAAATCTCCCTGAGGTGCCTCTTCTCCAAATCGCCCAAGTTTCACAAGGGCCTTCAGGCCTGAAGTTTCTCTGTGCCAACCAACAAACAAAACCATACAAGTCAACACCAATGGCAAAAGGGTAGACAGATTTGGGCTGAGGATATAAGGATGGTGGAGGACAGAAAGATTAAGAAGGGGGAAAGGAAAAAAAAAGGGAGGAGAGGGGAATTGAAAGTTAAGTAAAATGTTTTTAGGAGCATTTGGGGATTCCTTCCTAGAAGTTCTGCATCTGAACCATTGTGAATGGAGGAGCTCAAGAAAGCTTACCTGCTTCCACGGACAAGGGGAACCTCTCTGCAGATACAGAGAAGGAAGAATCATGGACTTCTTTAGGGTGGAAGGAACCTAAGGAGCTCTCTAGCCCAATCTCCTTGCTCCCAGCAGGGTCAGCTCTGGGGTCAACCAAGTTGCTCTACTTTGATCCACTCTGATCTTGTAAATATCCAAGTGGGGAGACTGCACACCCTCCCTGAGCAGCCAGTTCCTAGTTGCTTGACCATCCTCTGAAGGGAAAAACTTTTCCTCATCTCCTCCTTCTTTCAATTTATGTCCATTAACACTTATCCTCCCTCCATGCATCAGGATGATGATCCTGCCTCCATCTTCTTGATGACCTCCTTGCAGCAATGGAAGGCTCTCCAAATGAGGTCCATCCAGAAGCAATTCTTCTGCAGGTTAGACAAGCCCCATATCTTCACAAAGTGCTCCAGCTCTCCAGTTATCTTGAGGGCTCTCTGACATATTTTCTCTGAGTTACCAATCTTTTACTTCTCCCAGGGATGTACACTGAGCACTCCCTGTCACCTTCAAAAACTCTGCTGCAATCCTTGCATTCTGAAGAATGACCTTTCAGTGCATGTCAGAGAAACTATACTCTCCCCATAAGAACGAGGGCCTGTGAGCCACAGATTTCCACAGGATGCTTAAAGGGGTCTGTGTCAACCTCACCTGAATCAGGTAGTCCATAACTTCCATCACAGTGTTACCCTTATCTTTTGATGCTCACCCTCTGATGTTCGCCCACAAGCTCTCACCCAGACGCTTGTTTCCCCCACCATTCAACTCCACACATCTGAGCTTCTCCTTCACACAAAGCGCAACCCCCCTCCTCCTTGTCTTCCATATCAAGCTCTCCTGAAGAGCTTGTACTGTGCTGTCATAGCCCTCCAGTTGTTTGAACGATCCTACCACATGCCAGTTATTCTAAGAAGCTTTCAGCCCTGTGAGAGCTTGTGCATCTCCATCTGCTAATGTTTGTGCTCCAAGCTTCATTCACTTATGAACATATGGGCTGCAGAGCCTCTGCTGTGGCACAGAGTCTGAACTGATCTTGGGGCACCCTGTTCCCACAGCACAAT